ACTCAAAAGGAAATTCAAAGACCAAAAATTAAAGGATGGAAAACAATACTCCATGTGACAGGCACCCAGAAAAAAGTGGGTGTAGATATTCTGTTTGCAGATGTGAACTTCAAACCAAGAAGAATCAAAAGAGATAAAGAAGGTCACTACATACTTGTGAGGGGGAAGCTTCAAGAGGAAGAGATAAAAAACATAAACATCTATGCACCAAATGTAGGAGCACCCACCTATATAAGACAAATTCTAACAGACATGAAAAATTAAATAAGTAGCAACACAATCATAACAGAGGACTTTAATACACCATTGTCACAAAGAGATAGATCAACTAGATGAAAAATTGGGAAAGAAATAACTAATTTAACCAAACTTGTAAACATATGGACTTAGTAGACCTTTACAGAGTGTTCCACCCAACAGCATCAGAATATACATTCTTCTCAGCTGCACATGGGACCTTCTCTAAAATAGACCATGTACTACACATAAGACATAGGATGTCCACTATCACCACTCCTATTCAATATAGTTCTGGAAATATTGTCTAGAACAATTAGACAAGAGAGAGAAATAAAAGGAATAAGGATAGGAAAGGAAGAAGTGAAACTGTCGTTATTCACAGATGATGTGGTACTCTACATAGAAGACCCCAAAAACTCCACCAAAAGGCTCATGGATTTAATAACCAAATTCAGTAGCAGAGCTGAATACAAAGTTAACATTCAAAAATCAATAGCATTCCTGTACACAAGTAACAATCAGATTGAGAGAGAAATTAGGGACACCACACCTTTCACAATAGCATCTAAAAAGATGAAATACTTAGGAATCAATCTAACAAAAGAAGTAAAAGATCTATACAGTGAAAATTATAGTACTCCGAAAAAAGAGATTGAAGAAGATGTCAGAAAATGGAAAGATATTCCTTGCTCATGGATAGGAAGAACCAACATTGTGAAAATGGTCATACTCCCAAAACTGTTGTACAGATTCAATGCAATCCCAATTAAAATACTATTAGTATATCTCACAGATCTGGAAAAAACATTCCTAAAGTTCATCTGGAACCAGAAGAGGCCTAGAATGGCAAAAGCAACCTTGGGAAACAAAGGAAAGGCAGGAGGCATCACAATTCCTGACTTTAAATTATATTACAAATCCACTGTGATAAAATCAGTGTAGTACTGGCACAAAAACAGACCTAAAGATCAATGGAACAGGTTAGAAGATAGAGATACAACTACAAACACACTCAGTCACTTGATCTTCGATAAAGGGACCAAACACGTTCAGTGGAAAGAAGATAGCCTCTTTAATAAATGGTGCTGGAAGAGCTGGCTTTCTACATGCCAAAGACTAAAACTAGACCCATGTCTTTCACCATGCACTAAATTAAAGTCAAAATGGATCAAAGATTTAAATATTAAAAGAGAAACTCTAAATTTATTGGAAGAGAAAGTAGGTAAAAATCTTGATGACATTGGGGTAGGCAGAAAGTTCATGAACAAAAACCAAACTGCACGGGAAATACGTCAAAGAATCAACAACTGGGATCTCATCTTATTGAAAAGTTTTTGCACATCTAAAGAAATCACCAAGAAAGTAAAAAGAAAACCCACGAATTAGGAAAAAATTTTAGCCAACTTCTTTCAGACAAAGGACTTCTATCTAGGACATATAAAGAATTAAAAAAAATCAGGCCTCCCAAATTCAAAGACCCAATCCAAAAATGGGCATCTGAGATGAATACAAACTTCTCTAATGAAGAGATACTAATGGCAAATAAGTACATGAAAAAATGTTCAGCGTCACTGGTCATTCAAGAAATGCAAATTAAAACAACACTGAGATTCCATCTCACCCCAGAAAGAATGGTTATCATCAAGAAATCAACCAATAACAAATGCTGGAGAGGCTGTGAGGAGAAAGGAACCCTACTCCACAGCTGGTGGGAGTATAGATTGGGGAAACCACTGTGGAAATCAATTTGGAGATTCCTCACAAAACTAGGATTGGAAATTCCATTTAAGCCAGCTATTCCCCTTCTGGGTATTTTCCCAGAAGAATTAAAGACATCATACCACAGCGGTATATGTGTACCCATGTTTATAGCAGCACAATTTGTTATAGCTAAATCTTGGAAACAACCCAAATGCCCATCCACTGAGGAATGGATAAAAAAAGTTGTTGTATTTTTATACAATGGAGTATTACTCAGCTATTAAAAAAGATAAACTCAAGGCTTTTGTAGGTAAATGTATGCAACTTGAGACCATACTCATAAGTGAAATAAATCAGACCCAGATGTATAAACAGCATATTGTCTCCTTGGTGCAGGAACCTGAAAGACTAGGTAAAACTCAAAACGCACAATAGATGATAGGAAAGGGAAAGAAATTGCTCAAAGGAAGGAACGACTTGGATGAGGGAAAGAAGATAAAAGAAAGAAGGAACACAAAACATAAACATATATATTAATAGTTGCAATAACTGTATTGCTGAGGTCTGATGGTATATTGAAATGAACCGTCAATGCTGACAATTTTTTATGTTCTGATCGATTGTGCATGCTTGTGTCTGATGGTCTGAGCAACTGATTTGAAGGTAACAATATGCAATGGAATTACAATGGTGAACGCCTACCATCTTGTCTAGTGAAACTCTGTATTATCTCTAATGTTTTATCGAAGAATTATTTTCTTATTCTCTTTAATGGTTTGAGCAATCTGTCATTCTTACATCTGGTAATCTGAGCAATGTAGTTGAGGACAGTGATATGCAATGTAACAACCACTGTTGATTTGTATTATTTTGTCTTGAGACCCTGTATCACTTTGAGTGTTCTTGCTTTGATTTGTTTATGTTTGTGATACTGGTATGCTGCTACTGTTCTATTTTTTTGTTTGTTTGTTTCTCATATAATACTCTCTTTAAAATAAAAAAAATCTTCTACCATATAAGAGACAAAGAAAGCAAGAAGGAAGTTGGAGAATTTTTTTTATATGTAGTGCCAAGAATTATAGTTTTCTTCTTGTTAAAACTTATTAAGCATAAGTATGTCTGACCTAATAGGTACACCTGGTATGGTTAACTATGAATTATTAATATGAAAATAGATGAGGGCATAGTGCTTAAGTACAAATGTATTAGAGAATCAGCTGATAACAATACTTTATTATGCTATCATTATGACTCTTATATGTGCAAAAGAATGCTTAATAAATGTCTGTTAAATTAAACTGAATTTCCAGGAAGTCAAATGATTCCATATGGTTTTTAGAAACTAATTGAAATAATTAACCTTATGCAGGAAACTGGGACTATTATAACCTAAATGTGGCTTCTCTTCCATCTACTCTCAGCCTTAATGTATTTTACTTTCTTCTGAATTCCCTGGGAGTCATGAATTTATAAAGGCTAGGGTTCTAGGAACGTTCTACTGGAGAAAGAAGAAGAAAGCTCCCTTCCATATGGGATAAGTGTTACCCTCCACCATTTTCAAGACAGCTGCCACAGAAGATTTTCCACAATCAGACCTGATCCACTTGCTAACAATGAAGGAGATTATACAACTAAGATTATTTCCAACAAGAGAAAGGTCTTGGATAATAGGATGTTGCTAGGATAGACAGGTGACAGCTAATAAAGAGAGCACTTGACAAGCTTCAAATGCAACACAAGAAAGAAATTCTGGAGCTAGACATGATTTCCCAGCTGAATAACTATGTAGATTAACTGAAGGAAAGGTTAGTCATTATTGTGACCAAAATTAGCTTGGAAAACCAACTGGAAGAAATATGACAAAATGAGAGCAATCAAGATAAAAACACAGGACAGTAGGAGGGAAAGAAAAAGACCAAGAAGATAGGTCCAGAAAAACTAACAGGAAAAAACAGTAGGTGTGATAAAAGCAAGAAACGTAATTGAGGGATGAGAAAAAAAAATTTCTGAGCAAGATCAGAATCTTCAAACTAGTGGGATCAAGGTGTTAAAATGAGCGAGAATTTCACACACTCTCGTGAATGAGAATTGACATGTCTAGACACATCAGAAAACTTGTTGTAGAAGATAGCAGAGTAAGTTACATATAAAGGAAAAGAGATAAGAATGAAATCAGTTCTCATCTTCATTGTTGTAAGGGAGTAGACAACTGAACAACATACACAAACTACTAAAAAGAAAGACTGGAAATCAGAGGCTGTCTCCAGCAGTAATTCTGTCCATCTGTGAGTGCATAAGTAAGACACATGTGGATATATGAGAATGTAGAAAATACTGTACTATACTCATAAGTGAAATAAATCAGACTCACATATATAAATATCATATTGTCTCCCTGCTGTGAGAAATTGAAAGAGTAAACAAGGTCTAAAATGTACAGTAGTTATTGTGAAAAGAGAAGAAATTGTTCAAAAGAAAAAAGGAACTAGGATGGGAAAAAGGGGAAAGGAGGAAGGGAAAAGGAAAAATAATGCAAGTAAGTTATTCTACTAGGAAGATTAGCACTAATATGGATTGGAGAAATTTTTTATGCCCATATCTTGTAATCTGAGTAACTACTTTAAAGATAACAATACTCAATGTATTAACTATTGTTATTCTATATTTTGTTATGAAATTTTGTTTTACTTTTTTTCATAAAACTTTTTAAAAATGCCTTAAGACAAGTGTAACAAATGAAACAATAAAATTTACTTATAAAAATCTTGAAAATTATATGCGTGAGCAAGGAAGGGCTTCTTATCTCTAGAGATCTAGAAGCTTTAAGATAAAAGATAATTATATAACAATATCAAAATTCAGAACATTGATTCCATAAATAAAAATCAATAGATAAGCAAGAACTTTGGAAAACTTAAGCACAAAGCAGAGCACAGAAAGAGGTTTCCTAGCTATGCCATTGTCTTTGCTTTCTATGCTTATGACAAAATGCTCGGGGTGAGGTACTTCACCGAACTCTGCTCTGGAGATTGAACAGCATGGAGCCAGCACACACGTACCTGCATGGAGGGCTGGGCCGGAGCATGGCGGACGGCGTCACCGCAGAAGTGCACGCAGGAAGACAGCAGTTGCATGTGGCAAGACAGAAAGCAAGAGGGACTCAGGAGTCAGGCACACTATTTTATAACAACCCATTCTCACAGAAAACAACTAGGATTCCATGAAGAACGGCCTTAATCCCTCCTAACTGCTGCTTTCCCATGACCTCCCCTCAGCCACGCCACCTTCACACTGCCCTCCGGGGACCAAGCAGTTGGGTGGCACCTGAACCTTCAAGGGAGGCTCCCAAACCACACCAACCCCATGCTCAAAAATGATCAGAAAGAGAAAAAAAACCCAAAAAAGAAAATGGAAAAGGCTGTACAGTGAAATTCACAGAGGAGCTAATGGAATATATTCACCCCACTAGTAATGAGGATGTTTATATCCAAGTCATAACAAAGTACCATATTTTTGCCCACCACAATTGCAATGATTAAAAATCAATAAAATCTGTTATCTCAGAGAAAGCAAGGAAATTATAATTTCATAATTATATATGATAGAAATGTGAATTATTACTGTTTGGGAAATTTATGGATATCACATACATACTCCACAAAAAAGTTCAATCATATAATGATATACATACAGGTAAATACATGCACACATATATCCACATATTGAAACATAATTTTTTTTCTGCTCGTGCTAAACGTCAAAAACTTTTTAAGAAGAAACAAATGAAATGACTACAATAAGGGGAATGATGCTGTAGGCATTTGAAAAATTGAATTAATCATTCCAGGTGATAGGCATAATTTCCACAAAGCATTCTTGAGAGAAATAAGGTTCAAAAAAGTTTATATGATGACATTTTTTATGACCAAACAGTTAAAATTCAAAACTGAAATGTGAAGATGTATTCCACAAGTGTGAGGAAAACATGGAAGAACGCACTGAGGCTGTTAAAGTGAATGGTCTAAAACGGGGAGGAAATGCAGGTGGAGGGAACGGACAGGAAGAGATATTTAATAACCAATCCACATATTACTTGTGAAATAGGGAAAGTACTTAAGGATTAATTAACAAAATTTGATCTGTGAAACCTTGATTGGAAAGGCAAAACAGGAGAGGGCAACAGGCAGAGCTATGAAATACCCACACTGTCTTGCTGCGGCAAGCAGCTGCTGGGGCAGAGTTTGCCACAAACGTTGCCTCTTACACACACTTTGGTCGCTTTGGGAAAGAAGATCTCACCTCCCCTAACTCACATGATATGAGGATGAGAAAAACCCTGGGCCGAATGGAGCAAATGGAGGCAAAGCCACATGTAACCCATCACGAGGGAAGATGAGCAGCCACAGAGCGGAGAGGTTTTGCCACCAAAATAGGGTCATGAAGAGAAGAACTTAAGTGAACAAAAATGAGTAATGTGAAATCAGTTCACTTAGGAGTAATCAAAAAAAGGCAGTTATAATTTTTCTCTGACTCTGACTAAAACCAGTGTACACGATAAATTATTTACCTGGGAGAAAGGGCCACTGCCGGTTTTGCGGCCCCCTGCAAGTTGGTTATGAAATCAAAGAGAATGCAGCAGCCTGATCCACTCCTTACTCCCTCAGTCCTTCCTGTCCCTTACTATGAGTGGGTAGTTCCAATTCACAGTACTGGGAATTTGCGTTTAATGGTGTGAATATAAGGAAATTGATACCGGTGAACTGGTGTTACATTACCAAATGTAATGTATTAGTAAGAGACAGTACAAGTTATTTTTAAAAGCATGAATGGAATTGTGTAGCATTCTGTTTTTCTGTTAAAGAAGTGAAACAAAGGTTAAATAAAGCATCTTTTGAAAATATGGTGCTTTTAAAAAATTAGAAATTGGGGAACTTTATACTTATTTAAATTCAGTATGTTAAAAGTGGAAACTATATTGGTTTTAAGTTCAGATCTCATGTATATCATTTTATAAATTGTTAATAAAAATTTAAGACCATATGTTTATAACATTTTTTAAACTACTCTCTTGCATAATGGTCCCAAAGGAGGAGCTTGTTACAGTTTTAGAGATTGTCAGTTATTGAGCTTCCATCTCATCGTTGTACATATTTTACTGAATACAGGTAGCAATATTCTGTTAAATATACAGACAATATTAAACTAATGTATACCTCTCATTGACTAATTAAGTCTCCTGACTACAGTCTACCTACAGTACTTTAAAATTAATCTCCTTGACTATTATTCAGCTTTAAAAAAAATCTTGTCACAAGATATAACATGGATGAATCCTAGGACATTGTGCTAACTGAAATAAACCAGTCACAAAAAGACAAATGCTGTATGAGATCTTTAAAAGCATTAAGTTCATAGAAATAAAAAGCAGAATGATGATCACCAGGGGTTGGGATGGGGGAACAAGGAGTTGTCATTGAAGGGGCAAAGTTGCAGTTCTGTAAGTGAAGGTGCTCTAGAGATCACAGCAAAACAGTGTGAACAGACTACACCACTGCACTATATGAGGGTTAAGAGGTTGAATGATATGTTTTCACTACACTTAAAATAAAATAATTACCTTAAATTATATGTTTGTGAAGTCTCTGACACGTTTAATGAGTTATATTTCTGCTCATGATTGTAAAGGATCTGGTGGCCACATTATCTTTACCCAAGTAAAGGAAAATTCTGCTGGAGCCCAGTAAATAAGAAGTATGTATCAATTACTGTCAACAGGGGCTGGGGATTTAGCTCAGCGGCAACAGTGCCTGCTGGCAAGTACCAGGTTGTGAGTTTGGTTCCCAGTACCAGAAAAAAGCCAAAAAAAAAAAAAAAAAAAAAAAAAATTACTGTCAACAAACAAGGAGAGTTATGCAAAACATTTTATAGGTCTGTAACTATGGATACACAGTTATTAATGCAGGTCCCCAAAACAGCAATTCAAGATACAAAAAAAGTCAAGAAAATAATGGATGTCACAAGATGGCATATGATTAAAATTCAAGTGAAGGTTACTAGATTACCTAATTAAGCCTAATTGAAAGGGATAATAATGAACTTAAATTATATTCTTCTGTTCTGCATACAGAGATAGGTAGCTACCGAAATTTTTCTTCACATATTTGTGCTTTCAAGGAATTCACTATATTCTATACCATTGTGTAAGGTAACCCGTTTTTGCTTCTGCTTTTTTAACATATGAAAATTAGGTCTCCAAAAATAATCAGATAATTCCAAATTCACACAAACACACACCTGGAAAAATGGATAAAGCTTCACAGGAATCCACCTCAGAGACCAGCACAATAAAATAAACCTGTTTTCCTAGTGCAGCCTGAAACTCCCTTTTTTTCTCCTTTCCTCATAACACACTCTGATTTCCCCAGTGTTCAGGCGGGGGTGGGGGGTGGTCTGTGGTTGCCAATGCAGCAGGCAAAGGAAAGGCAGGGAGGGGGGAGAAAACTCAGCCTTGAAATGATCCTCCTTCCCCTCCACCACCACCTGCTAAAAATCTCAGTTTCTAGGGGTTTCCATTTTCTCTCAGATCTTCTTACCTGCTTCCCACTGACACACAAGGTCCACAGAGAATGTCATCCGAGATATAGTAAACAACTCTTAGAAAATGCTTGGAATGCCCACACTGACTCCTAGGGCTTGGTTAGGATCCTCTTCTGTCCCTGGAATAAACCCTTCCAGTAACATATGTCCTAATTTTATACTCACATGTAAGGAATTGGACAGATTTTGAAACTCATTTTAATCTTTAGGATTTTTAAAACTGAAAAATAATTCTTTAAAAAATATTTTTTAGTAAAGGGCACTAGGTGGCACAATTTCTCACAATTTCTCCAATTTATGTTAATAAGGCATTCATCCTTAATAATTCTCATGTAAAATAATTCTCCTTTATAAATATTCACATCTAAATAAGCTATCAGGAAACCTATGTAATAACTGATAGAAAAGTTATTGAGAATATTTCTATATACCTTGTTTTATGTCCTTATTCATAAACACAGTAACAATAATGGCAACACTTAGTTGAATAAAGTAACCCAAAGAAAATAGTAAAGTCTCTCTAATAAAATAAAAGGGTATAGATAGTAAACATTAATTTGTATCAAATGCACATTTTATAGAGTTACTGATGTGTAACAAAACCACAATACAAAAAGTGGACTGGTAATTCTATTGACAATGAATGCTTGAAATCAGGTATTAAAAAAACTAGGTCAAAAGTCTGAATATTTTTAGTAGCTACTTTCATTAATTCTGCTTAATTGTGTCAACTTGGCTTGGAATCTGCATAGCACATTAGTAACTACACTTTGGGGTGTATCTGAGTGGGTCATGGAGGTGCTGTAACAGCGTTTAGAATTCCTACAAACCCAGGTTCTTGTCTCACAGTACCAACGAACAGACTGAGGACAGACGAGGTGAACAGTAGAAAAGTTTTATCAAGAGAAAACTCCTGAGAGGTAGGTGGAGTCCTGAAAATGGGTTGCTGCTAAGGCTCTTTGTTTAGGGGATTTACATAGTAAGATCACATCACAGGTTACCCTGGCTAAAACCATAATCAACGTGTAGGATTTCAAGTACAGAAACTTAGCTAATACTGATCTAATAGAAAAACAGGGTGCATAGAAAGAGTACATCTAGGGCATCATTATTTTATCTATAATCCTAGCATGCAGAAAAACTGAGGCATTTCTAACAGGAGTACACATGAGGGTCAGAGCATGTGGGCATCTGTCTATGTGTTTGTTACAGCGCACAGACTCACTGGGCCAGGTGGTGCTCATTACAGTATGACCTTGCTCTTCATCTTTGGGAAGGCGACCTCCCCAGACCCAGAACCACAGGCCTGATTTACCTCATCCCTGTTCTGACTTTTTCTTGGGCCCGTTCCCTTTCTAACTACCTATCAGTCTCTGCCTGGCCTAGCTATCTGCAATGAATGAGCTTGGTTATGTGCATGGTCCCTGGTGCCTTCCCCCTGCCCTACTTCCCAGCTGCCAAGAACTAAGTAGCTTTGCTGTGCCACTCTTCTGTCACGCTCTTTCCACCATGGACTGACTGTAGTCAACTTTAACCT